TTCTATAATAAGAAACTGTGAACTAAATCTGCTTCCTTACCAGAACAGCCCGCTCTTCTTCCAGGAGCTCACGTACAAACGTCAGTGTCCAACAGAGCTGAAACGAAGCGAAGGTTCAGTACCAGCCCTGCAGACACTCTGTGCCTGTGGGCATTCAGCTGCAGCATGGAAGGAAATCGCTGAGCCTGCTGGGTTAAAGGCACTGCCTGACCCAGCAGGAGGAAAGGCACACGTCCTAACAGCAGGTGCTGGAATTAGCACTACCTGGAGGCATTACACAAGTTTTGCTGTTTTAACGAATATGGCTCCTTACCCCTGACTAGCCCAAGCCACAAAGCTCACCCACTTGTATCAGATCACTTTCATTAAAGCCAATCTGACCGGTGAGGAAATTCTTACACATCGCTTATAAATCTTAGACAATTTGCATTAATGCTGTCAAACACAAATGGCTTCTTTCTCAGCCCCCAAATTGACTGCATGTTGACATGTGGCAATGAGAATCATCTCCACACCTCAGCAGCCTCAGCTGCTCATTTAATGCACAATTCACTGCTTATACACACAGCAAGTCATGTACTGGTTCAATTAATGACAGCTCACCTTCAGCACAAACACATTTTCACATATGCATTATCTAAACAAAATGCACGTGTGAGCGTGTGCAGACAAATAGAAAATGCTGACTGGTGTCTTACACATTTTCTCTGTCTTCAATTTGTACTCTGGAAGCGGAACGTTGTGCTCACAGGGAACGTCAGAGATGGAGGTTAAGCACAGCCAGCGTTTGAGGTACAAAGCCTGGGGGAGGGGAGCTCCAAGGAGAACAGGAGGCCTGAGAGGATCGGCACCACAGCAAAGCTCAGCTGCTGCAGCTCAAGCACAGGTGTTGAGCTCAGGGCATCTCAGCAGACATCACCTGGTGCTGGGATTGGATGAGCTCCCAGACGGCACCTGGCAGCACACAGAACGGGCAAAATCCACTGCTGTGGCTGCTGCCTGCCTTCCGATTCAAGCTACGCAATGGAAAAGGGGCTGTGGAGGGAAAGTTAAACGTAAACTGTCCTCATCCAAAAGAACAATCTCTCCTACGCGCTGACCTATAAGAAAGCATCAAACAGCTGGAGACTGTAACAGAACAGAATCGTGGAATCATTGTGGCTGGAAAAGACCACCGAGATCATCCAGTTCAACCACCAACCCACTGTCACTGATCCTCACCTCATCTGTACACAACTATGTTCTTTCTACCGTTTTTCAGAGCCAAAAAAGGCAGAATAAACACGGGTAGGCTGTAAGCGTGAGGTCCTGCCCTTAGCAGAAACCTCTTCTTAGAGCACGTGGAGACAGCACCAAGGAGCAGTGCAAAGGACACCATCCCAGCTCACGGCCATTCCCAGCAGCTCCTTCCACACGCCGCCATGCCAGCTCCCAGCCTTACAGCGCCCGCAGCGTTTGCTGTCCCCTTCATTTTCAGGACACCATCTTCCCCCTCGCCTCGCTTAGCAAATCAATAAATCCCTCCTGGAACCCGAGGGCTCGTCTTCCCCGTGCTGCGGCAGCAACGTGGAACCTTCCAAAAGCGCCGAGCCTCCTCAGCCCCACCGCCTACCTGCTCCGCCGCCACTCCTCGATCCGCCTCGCGCCCAACAGCCGCACCACGTGCCGCCCCCTTCCCGCCGAGCGCGCGGGGAGCTGCGCCTCGAGAACTCCAGGCTGTTGGGAGCAGCGCCCCCTACAGGCAGCGCGAGGCAATTGGGAGCAGCGCCCCCTACAGGCAGCGCGAGGCGGCGCCGCGCTACTTACCGGGCCGGGCGGCTCGCCTGACGGACACAAAGAGGACACGCCACAGCTCGTCTCTTTACTGAATGAATTTATTGGTTTTTGAACTAAAGTTGCTCACAGTTATTTAACAAGGGATACATCAGATTTTTGTTGTCCATTTTAAACCATTAAATAACGTCAGTTTGTGTCTGTATATGTGTGTGTGCGCGCGTGTGTGTCTTCAAAGTACAAAATAGGAAGGATAACAAGAGGTATTGCTTTCGTTTATTCTTATATCTTGTGTAAGTAATCCCCTTCCTGCTTGTACCACGTGGGTTTTGCTGATATAGGTATTTTTTAAATTATTATTATTATTTTGTATTGAAATCCCAGCCTTTCGTAGAGGTACAATGTAACAGAAGCATCAAAATCTATACACAAGGGAAGAGAAAAGAGGGAAAAGAAGGACGGGGGTGATGGGAGGGGAGCTCGGAGGAGAAGTAGAGAGAGGGCGGAGGCAGGAAAGACAACGAAAGCAAAAGAGACTAATTTACAGCAATGTCATGCAATTAAAACTGCCCCCCTCTCCTGCACCCTTGCCTCCCCCCCTCCCCAGCCATCACCCCCTGGTGTCTGACATGCACACAGCAATACGAGAGAAAAGGTTGGGAGTAGGGAAAATAAATAAATAAATAGAACGGAAACGTAAAATAAATCCCTCCCGTTTTGGGGGAATGGGGAAGCGGGGCCAAAGTCAAAGGTCTTTGCCCCAGTTGTGTCTTTAAAAATTCGCTTTAATCTTCAAACCTATGTACAAGTAAAACTGGTCCGAGAAGGGGAAAAATGATTAAAAAAACCAACGACGACAACAACAACCAAAAAGAACTCATACAACATTATCATTAAAAAAAATAAGAATAATCTTGCGATACAACATACACCCATAGGAACCCAACGAGCAGCAATCGAAGGTCATAAAAGAGCTGAACACTAATGCTAAGCCTACATTCTTAAAATCTCAGTCAAGAAGAACTTCTCACTGTGTTTTGTCTTCCAGGCGTAAAACCACGTTTGTTTCTTTGTCTGTTTGTTTAACCTTTGAACTTGGGCCAGAATAAGTTACACTTGGTCACGTAACTCCTGAGGAGGAGGAAAAAAGGCGGCGATTCTTCTTTCTCAAAGTCACAAGATGAACACTTAGGGGGTTGCTGTGTCTTTTTTCCCCCTCCTCCGCAAAATAAATAAGAATCAATGTTGCCTCTACACAGTCATTAAACAGAAGATATATCTAACAGCTTATTTTTTAAATATATATATATGTATATATAAATAACCAAGACCTAAGAACTGAAACGCAAAAAAAAAAGGTCCCCATCCACCCAACCCCACCCTCCTCCCCTTCAAAAACAAAACAAAACAAAACAAACCACCAAACCAAAACAAACCAAAACAAAAAGAAAAACTAAAACTTTATAAAAATATCTTGCAGTAATTTTTAAAGTTTACAGTAGCTTCGTGATTAAGTCTCCCATTGCCCTGACTCCACCTTGCCTTGCTCAGATGAACTAAGTGCCAGTGATTTGCACACACACACACACAGGAAATAAAACCCAAGATAAGTCTCTTTTCTTCCTCTTCGTCTTCTTTTTTTCTTTTTTTTTTTCTTTTTTTTTTTTTTTTCTCTTTTTTCTTAAGAAAAAAATTCACCCAAGCCAACGAATGAAATCGGTAACTTAAAGAAATAATAATACTGATATCAATGCAGCACTAGCAACACAACAATTGCCTCTAAATGCAGGGTGCGGTGGAGGCTCCAGCTGGTGGAAGAAGGTCCCAGCACGGTGGCACAGTGGCAGGGAGCTGACAGATGGGGAGGAAGGTGTCGAAGGAGGAACAGCAGTAGCAGCAGCAGCAACCGTGCCTGGCGGTGGGAGAGACAGTCCTTGGCAGAGTCTTGTCCCTCTTCTTTGCTACCAGAAGTTGCCTTTTCCCTAAGTTTTCATGTTTTGTTTGTATGTGTTTATTCGTTTAACCCCCCCTCTCCTCCTAAGTTTACTCCTTTCCCCTTCCAGCAGGTCAAAAAGCAAAATGAGACGGCATTAAAAACAAAACGAATCAAAACAAAACACAATTATTTTCTGTGTATATATATGTATGTATGTATGTGTGTATATTTTTATCAAAATATACGCACATAAATATACATGTATATATACATTAAAAAAAGGCCAAAAGAAACAGAAAAGGTGGCGGGGACAAAAAGAAGGTTAAGAAAATCCTGTGATGAAGCTCCCCAATACTGTCTTGGTTCAAGGCTTAGTTTTGAGTTGCTCCCAGCTGGTTTCTGATGAGAACGCGCTCTGGATCCACGCAACACTGCGCTCCCACTACCCCATCTCCTTCCCTGCACCCTCCCGCTCCAGGCAGAGTTCACCTGCGCAGACAGAAGCTGCCAAGGGCAAAGGTTTCACTCCAACAATTTGCAACCTCCTTTCAGCCCAGATTTTGCAATCCAATAACTGAGCAGATCTCTCTTGTGGAGCACCAAAAATGAAAAAGAGAGAGGAAAAAAAAGAAAAAAAAAAAAAAAAAACCAATAAAAATAATAATAAAAAAAAAAAGCGTGCATTGGGGAGATGTTTGGGGAGAAGTGGGGGAGAAACCCACTTCCTGAAGGGAGAGGGGAGGCTGGGAACCTCAAACAGGACTGGTCCTTGGACAGTCTACATCGGTTGCCTTCCGTCAACAAGTGTCCGCAGAGCACAGAAGGTGAAGCCGTGGCTGACATGTTAACTTTTCGGGATAATTCCTGGTAGCAGAGCGGAAACAAGTGGTGTCGTCAGAAACACAGAGAGAGCATGAACAGAACAAGAAACAAACCGAAAGAAAACAAAAAGTAATCATAACAATAAAAAAAAACCAAAAAATCAGGAAGGAGAAAAAAAAAAAAAAAAAAAGAAAAAAAAAAAAAAAAATCAAAAAAAAGGGGGGAAAAAAAAAAAAAAAAAAACAAAAAAAAAAAAAAAAACCCCAACCCAAGTTGAGTCGAATTGGGTTTGTCATCTGTGCTACCTTTTCTTTTCTTTCTTTTCATTCTTTCGTTCGTTTGTTTTTGTGTTTGTTTCTGAGATATATATTATATATCATATATAAATATATATATGTATATATATACAGTCATTCCTTCATACAAAATTTGTCTATAGACAGTTTTGTACTGTTGTGGCAAGGTATATACATCCTTCTAGTTTAGAGGCTAGCTCGCTAAGGAATATTCTTTCATTCTTTCTTGCTTTATTTTTTCTGTTTTTTGTTTCTGATTTTGTTTCTAAGTTATTTAATTTTTTATGTGTTTATTTAAGGTTGGTCTTGTAGGCCGACTGATGAGACCATCTTTGCCTTGTCTTTGCCAGCAGGGTACTTATTGTCTCCTCTAGACCCATAGTCATTAGAACCGGAATCGCTCCGCTTGCTGTTTGCGCTATGCTTGGTTGGCGTGCCGGGGGGATGGCTCACCTGCCCGTTCTTCTCGTCTGAAAAAAGTTGTTTAATTACGTCAAAGAAGTTACTCAATGGGCTGCCTGGGTACACAAAACAGAGGAGACAAAAAAAGAAAGAAAGAAAGAAAGAAAGAAAGAAAAAAAAAAAGAGAGGGAAAGAGAGAGAAAAAGAGGAGAGAAAGAGAGAGAACAAACAAACAAATGAACAATGGGGTTTTTAACGAGAAGAACATGATGAGGAGATCCAGAGCCACGTGCGTGGGGGTGTGTGGGGAATGAAGACAATGAGCAGGAAGAGGAAGAGTGTTTAGGATGGGACACCTACAGAAATAAAGAGGCTGGGAGCATCAAGCACCTACGGGTAGGTCCTAGTTTTGTCTTGAGCGGGTGGGCACAGCTGTCTCACCTAAAAAGAGGATGCAGCACCACATCACTGGAATACGTAGTTCTGTCTATTACTTGCAGTCATTTGGCCATTCTGCACTGAAACATCAGTGAACGTAATGTGGGATACAGGCAAATCCCATCTTATTGTTGCTGTTACAAATGTCATTGTTGTTTTTTTGTTTTGTTGTGTTTCTTTTTTTTAATATGGTTGCCAATTGCTTTGCTTTGCAGCCCTGCTAAGTTACATGGCTGCACTGGGGATTATGCTTTTCTGCCTTGCTTCTGAGTATCTCCTTGCTCGCTTTTTAGACACTAGAACTCAAACACTTAAGTGCTCCAAGGGAGAAAGTATTTGAAAAACAAGCGATGGCTGACACGACTACCTCCATCTGTATGCGTGGTTTGTGGCTTGTGCTTGCAAGCTTCTAAGCATCTTCAGATCCTTCTTACAACAAGCACCTGGAAATAGAGATACTGAATGCTTTGTAGAAGCAGGTTGCTGTGCATGTATTTCTGGCACCTGCCGGGGTCAAGAACTACTTTCTCATTGTCCTGAATTTATTGTTTGGTTACAATACAGCCTCTGGAACACAGACATTGATTTCAGAGGAGCTAGGAGCCACAGAAGGATGTAGGACTGCATGCTGGTGGAACAGGTATCTCATTAAGCCAGCCAGAGGAGTAGGCTGTAGAAATAACATGGTTTGGCACTGTACATATGTTAGAATGTAATCTTTCATGCCATTTGAAAAAGTCTTTTTGCTCACCATTTCACCTTCTGATTAAATCCAAGATTCACTTTACCAAAGCCATTTTCCAATGGGGAGCACGATGCATCACAGACGCACCTCCAGGGGCCAAAAGGAACAGACAGAGCCTGGACTGAATGTAATGAGTCTTCTTCTAAAACCCTCTAAATGTGGGCATCTGAGAATTCTCAATTAACAAAGCACACACAAATATTATGTAAAGAGCCTTCATGTGCTTGACTAGCAGCTATGTGCTGGGTTTAATTATGCAGCTCCAAGATGGTTATATGCAATCCTTTAACTGGTCCTCAAAGGCCAGACAATCTTCTCTTCATTCCTGATTGCCTTAAGTTTAATGCAACGAAAGACCCAGCTGTGTTTCAGCATGAGCAATATCAATCCAGGAATGGTCCACAGAGGTTTCATGGCACAGCAGCTTGGGCTGGACCTGCTAAGGGGGATGGGATGTCCTTACAATGACCCTCTGGCCTATCTGCTAAAGAAGAGACCTGTACAGCAGATTCCTTCTTGACACTCTAATTCCCTTTGCAATAATGCGTATACCTCTGTGCCTCTACATTACTGTGGAAGGTCATACTTGAAGAAAAACTCATGATGTTTTTCTCAGTATTGGGACTGTTGGCTCCACTGTTATAACAAATTCAAATCAGCTAATTTATACCCCATCTAAACGATTTCATCCTCCAGCTCCCAGAAGGCTCCTTGTTTCTGCTGTGCAGTGATGTGGTAGTTGTGAAGAGTGGGACCTTTCATCCCCGAGACGGCAACATTCAGTCCAGAGCAAAGAGGCTTCTTCATAGCAGAGATCCCCACTCACCCACAGTTAGTGGAAGCTGGTGGCTTAATAATCTATTTTTTTCGCTTTATTACACACATAAGCAGATTGGTTACCACAGTGGGCAAGTACTGTCTCTGTGTGGTAACATCTGAAGGACTTGTAGCATGCTTTCTTATTCCCTAAAGGAAGATCCTAGACAGACATCAACTGTTGATATGCAAAGAAAAAGAAAAAAGATAGCATTTGTGCCTTCCAAAACTGAATGTATTACTCTTCTTCCACTGGCCCATGCTAGCCATGTAGTTGCTGCTTTCCTCTGTGTGGTAACAGGCATTGAGAAAAATCACATGGCTGACATACAGAGAGATGGATCTCAGTCTTACTCATCTAATTCATTCCTTGCCTTCCTGTACTTGCTGTTTTGTGTTTAACCTACTGCTGGCCCTGTTTCCATCTATGTGTCGAATTATACCAGCGCCCCAAGCAAATGGTTGTTAGTTTCTGGAAGGGCACCACTCAGCTAACAGATTCAGAGATGCAGGATGCAAACAAGCAGCCAGGAGAAACACGTAACTCAAATTCTGGCTAATAAAAGAAAACCTACCAAACTCTCAGCTATTTCTGGGTCAGAACTCCCTGAGCTCCACCTGTCTCCTTCCACATGTGTGCAAATGCTTTGGAATAGGGATAGCTCTTCCACATCTACACCTTCTAATTCACCCTAAGCTGCTCTGTATGCATGTTGAGCTCATGCTCATTTAATATCTGCTCAGACTCATTTCTACTTCAAGTGAATATTCTCTTTCAATGAAAAAATAAAGCAAACACTCAACCTTGATTGCAGGAATGTGGACAAATCTGGTCATTATGTGGCTTTGGACCCCTCATCCTCATAAGCAAATGGAGTCAGCAGAGAGAATGGAAAAAGAGCACTAAAAAAAATGCTGGATAGGGAAAGACTGCTAGGTTGGGAGAAAAAGGGAGGGAAGTATCTCTAGTTATTCAGCTGAGCAGTTTATTCAACAAGCTTAGAGGGAAAGAGGAGGGCAGAGAAAGAAGCGCTCTGCAGGAACTGGGAAAATTTTAGTTTTCACATAGACAGGAACAGCGGTCAAAGGTACAACTTGCAAAAAGGGAGCAATAAAACATTTTGAAAATTGTACGTAAATATCTGGTATTTGACAAGTTCTGATACAGGATTTTTAATCATCCTATTAAAATATGCAGCCCCTGTTTCATCCACCCTTTCTCCTTCCCATGCCCTACTGGCTTTCGGGTACCTGGAGATTTACTGCAGCAAAGAGTATTTAACAGTCTGCTTTTTCTTTGCCTGTATCACTACTGGATTTCTTACAATCAGCATTTTTCAGGTAACATTTTAATGGGAGGTAGGAAATCCTTAGGGATATTGAATGAGAGCTACTGAAAAATAAAATAGGCCATTTCACTAACCCCTTCCTTTCTTTGCCTTTCATAGTGTCTGGACTTGTAATTAAAAACTTGGTATTAATCCTTTCATATCTTGCAGTTAGGGAAGGACTGATCCTAAGCCAAGCACTACAGACAATCACATTGATGTTATCTACACGACAGCTTGTTAGCCCACGCTCAGGCTTGTCTAGATACTGGTCTTTGAACAGACAAAGAGTCCTCACATTTCTCTCTGGGGATATGTAAACATAGGTCAGCTATGCTGGAAGCATGAAAATGGTGACTGTTGTTGCTCCTTTCAGTTTTCAGTTGCCTTTGGGCTGATGCGGCCAGTAAAACAAGATTTCAAAATGCAGGTGATGATTTTTAGGATAGTTTTTCCAGCAATCTTCCACTCCTTGCATCCAGTACAAAATATGTAATAGGCTCTTAGACCTGCAAGTCCACCTGGGGGCCTCAAAGAGACTTTCTCTCTTATTTAAAAATGTGAGATGACATCCCATTTCCTCCGGACTGGGATGAAGGTTTGACTTACTGATTTTTCAAACTTCCCTGATATTTCATGCATCTGTACTTAAGGTCTTCTTTCCCTTTGAGAGAAAACGTTCACCAACATAAAGAGGGCAGGAAGGGCAGCAAGGGTGAGACACTGTGAGAAGGTTCAGAAGCAGGAAGGGAGGTTCAGAGCATTAGGTTTACTTCTGTTAGGAGGAGATGGATATGTGCATTTCTGAGTTAGTCCGAGGAGCCAGATGCTGCAAGATGGGGAGGGAAATGGGTTTGAAAACAAGCACTGAAGCTTATGAAAGGGTCATATATTGAAGGGAGACTAAAGAAACAGATTTATGGAGAGGGCACTAATTTGTGGCACCTGTGTGCAGCATCACCATGGCCAAATTCCTCAAAGTGAATGCATTTTAACACAGACAGTAAACGGAAGAAGCAGGGCTGCGAAGGGGCACTGAGAGGTAAAAGGAAGCTGGGCAGATATCTTGTATCAACCCTCAGAGTACTCTACTCTATCTCATTTGCTTTTCTGCCGAAGTGTCACAGGGGCTAGGAGCAAAGTTGAACTGGCACATCCAGGTTAAGAGAGGAAAGAGAAAAGGAGGTGATGCACTCCAGGTACCAGGAGTGGCACCAGAAGAGGATTCACCTGCTCTGACCTTGCCACGACCCTCAGTGTCCTTCCCAGGAGATTAACAAGTGTGGAACAAGCAGCTTCTGGACAGGTTTGGAGGCTTCTATCTCTGGAGACTGCTCTTTTGTAACATTCTAAGATAGCCACATAAGGACTTGGTCCTGTTCAGATTAAAGCAAGTGGCAGCACTCCCACGGATTTAATGAAAGCAAACTTTCTTGTCCTGTGAAAACATCTCTCTTATATCTATAATGACATTTAATGCACTAATCTTTTTGGTGCTGACCACCAAGTTGAATAAAGCAAATACATCATCTATGGGATTACTCTCTGCCTTTTCTTTCTCTGTGGCCTGATAAATTATTTAATTTCTGCACTTTTAACTTAGGCTTTGGAAGAAAGTGAATGGGAAAACATTGGTCTGCCTTCTGCCTGCCTCTGCTACTTACAGCACAAATACCTTTCCCTTTATGCGCTGGAGGATTCATTGTTGTTGTTTGTTTTTGTTTTCTTTTCCTTTTTTTCATCCCTAGTTTGTTCTTCATCTCAACATCAGCCATGTTTTCAGTGAATC